GGAAGGTGGTCCAAGGACTCACCGGGTCCTCATACTCTTGGGAACCACACCTCAATCCCAGGCCCAGGAAACTACATCTGAATCTGTTTTTACTTCAGTCACTCTACCCTATTCCTTCGCCAAAGTCCAGGCAGGACCAGGACAAGGTTTTTAAGAGCCCTCGGACAAAAGTGTAAATTTGTGACCTCAACTTCTAGCTCCTGGGCTGATGGGAAGAAGGTAAGGAGGAGGCTGGAATTACTGCCATTTATGGACCTCACCCCAGGTTGGCAGCCACACACTCTCTCACTGAGCCTCTCAGCCCTGTAAGAAAGGAACACTGACCACGTGCCACAGATGAGAAAATCCAGTCCCGGCATCCCAAAGGCCTGTTCCCACCCTTTCCTCCACTGTCACTGGAGGAAAGAAAAAGCTGCTAGCCCAACAGCACTGGGGTCCTGTATTAGCCATGGTTTTCTGGCAAGGCCATGGTTGGGCTTGGATCTTAGCCCTGCCTTTGATGCACTGTGGAACCTTCCCACACCAAGCCTCAGTTTCTACATGAGTGAAGTGGGATTCCTAATCATACTCCAGCACCCTGGGGTACCGTGGGGGACCAAATGCATGTTCCTGTGGGTAAAGGGACCTGCAGGGTGTAAAGAGCCACACATCAGCAGGCCTCTGTATGGCTACAGCATGTGAGTGATGACCAGAGTGACCTTGTACGGAGCAGGATGCCACACCGACACTACATAGATTGCTTCATTTATTCTCACCCTAGCTACCCGAGGAGCCCCCGCTGCTTCCCAAGGTACCAATGCCCAGGATCATACCACCTGAGTACCAGATCGATGGTTCAAGGCAGGGGTGGGGAGGAACCTCCATGTGGGGTCAAAGGGAAGCTTGGCAGAGGGTCCTGATGGCATATTACGGGGCCCAGAGGCAGGGGGTTGAGGAGACACAAAGGAGGCCTCCAGTCAGCCCAGCTTTTCTTCTCCTCCTCCTTTGACAACCCATTAGTCCTGCTTCTTTGGCCAAGCTGGGGCCCCTAACAAGCCAAGCTAGTTTCGAGGATGTTCAGTTACGTGAGGGGAGGCAGCCTGGAACTGGGACCTCCCCTTAGCCTCTGGACCCTCCTGGGCTCACTCCTTTCCACGGTTCTCAGCACACACTGTCCCTCAGCCGCATCCTCAGCCGCTCTCTCACCCCCGGATGTCAGCTCATCATGGAGCCTTCCACCACCAGCCCGGAAGTGGCTTCCAAGCCTAGGCTTCCCTGCTCCATAGTGGAGCTGTGGTTAAACCACGGCTCACTGCCAGGTGCATTCATAGCCAGCGACAGCCAGGCCTCATGGCCTTAAACAAACGCTCTGCCTCCCTCTGTGCCTCAGTGTCCTCGTCGATAAAATTAGAATGAGCTAGTATTTGTAAAGGGTTTACAAGAAGGCTTCACACCTTGGGGTAATTCTACTTAAACATTTCTCCCTCTCCTCCCTCTCCCCTCTCCCCCTCCCTCTCCCCCTCCCCCTCCCCCTCCCTCCTCTCCCTCTCCCTCTCCTTCTCTCTCTCTCTCTCTCTCTCTCTCTCTCTCTCTCTCTCTCTCTCTCTCTCTCTCACACACACACACACACACACACACACACACATCAAAAAATTATAGGATGGGTGTGATGGTATAAATCTTTAATCCCAGCACTCAGGAGGCAGAGGCAGGTGCGTTCAGGGCAGCCTGGTCTACAAAGTGAGTTCCAGAACAGCCAGGGCTACACAGAGAAACCCTGTCTCAAAACAAAACAAAACAAAACAAACAAAAACAAAAAAAAACCCAAAACTAAAAACAAACCAAAACAAACAAAAATAAATAAACATCCACCAACTTAAATGGAATTTAAAATTTAGCCAGGTGTGACAACACTTGCCTGAAATCCTGGCTATTTGAGAGACTGAGGAAGGAGGATTCCAAGTTCAAGGCATTTTTTTTTTACAAAGTACTCATGGGGGGTCAGGGAAGGTGTGACTCAGTGGTAGAAATGCCTACCATGTAGGAGGTCCCGAGTTCAGTTTTTTTCTAACGGCCTTTCAGGAGAATGACCAGCTTCAATTCACTGCTTGATGACCGGGATTCAGGGACAATTGCTTTTTCATCAGTTTCATTTCTTCCACAAGCATTTATTGAGCACCTACTGTGTGCTAGGCCCACTGTTTAATACTGTATGTACATTACCCCACTGGGTCCTTCGGGTCTGTGTGGAGGTGTTAGCATCCCCAGTATTGCCAAGTCCCCTTGGAGCAGTGCTGCCCTGGCTGACACCCCTGGCTGGTTATTGTCGGTCCTGCCATCCGCCCACAGACACCAGGAGAGCAAAACTCTGTAATGTTTATTGCCACATTTCAAGTATGTGTGCACCATGGTGCTGGGATGCAGAGCAGTACTAAAGTGATGTTTGGGAAGAAATGCTGTCCCAGGTCAGCCGTGAGCTGAGCACCACTGGGAATGGCCAGCAGGGAAAGGAAATGGGGAGACGACTGGGCCCGTCATGATTTGAATATGAAATGTCCCCATAGGATGCAAACCTGATCCCCATGTGTGGCGCGATTTTGGAGGGTGCTAGACACTTTGTACCTAGCTGAAGGAAGTAGGTCATAGGGCGTGCAGGAGTGTCAGGGTGTCTTGGGGGGCTACATCTTGTCCTGAATCTTCCCGTCTCTCTGCTGTTTCCTGGATGGGAGGGAGTAGACTCTCTCCTCTCCCACACTGGCTGTCATGACGCTGTGCCGAGCCTAGACCCCAAGCAATGGAGTCAGCTGACCACGGACTGAAACCTCAACGCCTTCCTCTGTTTTGCTCAGATGTTTGTCTCAGTGATTAAAAAAAAAAAAAAAAAAAAAAAACTTACCAATAGCGGCCCGGGCACCCATGTCAGGCTGTACAAACCGTTTCCCTCATCCTCACTAGGATAAGAGATAATCTGAGGAACGGTTATATTCCCATTTTATAGATGAGCGAACTGAGCTTCAGGAGGGCTAAGTTACTTGCTGTGGGTCACAGAATGAGACGTGAATGTAGGTCTGATTGATTTTTAAAAGTGGATAAAAAGAAGGAAAAAAAGAGTGCACCACCATGGCGTTTGACAAGTCATTTTGGATTTGAGTTCATGAAGAAAAGAATAAGAACGGGGGAGCTAAGAGCCTGCCACGTCTGAGGGCCGGGAACACCCCAGGCACAGCAAACACTAGCCGTGAGCTCTCAGTACCCGGGTGACAGGAGAACTTTTGGCATCTTGGCATTGTGGGCACATCTGTGCCCTCACCAATGTTCCATGATCATTAAGCAAACATTCTACCAGTAGCCAGGCTGCCCAAATTCTACACAGGGCGAGGTGAAGAAGGCCACCCACCCCAGGACAGGATGTCGGTTGCCTCTGGGTGGCCTAATGTCTAGGCATCAAATATCTAAGACAGTAACAGAGAGAGGCACGTGGGAGCTGCCCTAGACTCCTCACCTTAAGTAGAGCCCCCCACACACACACCCCTGCCCTCCAGGAATGAGCAGGAGCATTGCTTTTGAGGCTTCTAGCCTTGGGCAGGGGAGCGTCCCTGCCCTTCCTACAGGACAGGTTCAAACCCTGCTCACCACTCTCGTAGCACCGTGGCCCCCCTTCCTACAATACTCACCCCTTCCAGAGCTTGGAGTTCCACCTTGTGGCTTGGCTGAAGCTCTCCAGTGGAAAGACTGCGCCTGGTACCTTCGCTGCTATTTCCTGGGATAGTCAGGCTCCTTGGCCCCCAGGAGCATCCATGAGGACAACCAGCAGGATTTAGCAAGGCATGGTGGTGAAGCTCTCAGAGGCCCTGAGAAAGGACATGTGTCTTGTCCTAAGCCGTAGGCAAGGTGGGAAGGGAGAATGGACTGTGCTTGGGAGCTCTGGCTCTCAGTCAGGGCCTTTCGCTCAGGTCACACTGTGCTAGGCCTGAGACCCAGGGAGAAACGTCCCAGAGCAGGTTGAGGACCCGGGCCAAACAACATGAAGTATCTTGACCTACGTTCACGGAACTTTAATGTGCTCATGACAGGGTTCTGAGAAGTCAAACCTAATACCTTGTACATCGCAGCAGAGGTCCCATGCCCCTGATGTTCAACGTGAAAACTTGCCTCCACGCAGCTGCTCACCACGACTGTATAGTGAACACAGCCCAGCACAGGGATTTATTTGTTGTAATTTTCCGGGTAGGACTCCACTAGGCCACACTACACAGACCTGCTGTGACTGAGGGGACCTGGGGATCCCTCCAGCCCCCCTTGACTGCTGCCATCCAGGCAGGGGTTCCCCAGTGCCCCATGAAGCCAGGTTGGAAAAAGCGTGGTGTATGACTCCGAGAGCAGGGGGTGAGATGGGAGACTTGAAGGGCTGTCCCTGCCATTCACCTTGGGTGAGGCATCATGGGGCCTTGGTTTCCCCGTTTGTACCGTGAATCTGCTGGACAGTTTTTCTGGCATCAGAGCGTCTGCTCAGCTGCAACTCTCCGGTTACAAAGGACTAATCCTGAAGGCTCCTAGCTCTCCACTTCTAACATTCCACTGCCGAGCTTTACAAGTCTGGGACTGCCTGCATCTAGCCTGTGCTGGCGCAGCAAACCGGGGCCCAGGCTGTGGAAAGCCGAATTCATTAAGTCAACGTGATGCCCAGGGGCAGGCAGCAAGTTCCCTGGAGAGGGCATGCCCCATGCAGGATGGAGGAGGTGGGGGTGGGGTCTGGGTGGACCTGGATCTGCAGCCACTCAGTGGGCAGAGCTGGGAGAGGGACCCAGGTCTCCTGTCTCCTGCTCTATCTTTAGATCTCCATAGCAACCGTCGCCAGGGCACCGAGCTGAAGGCATGGGCTATGTGGCTGCCTGCAGGAGGGAGGGGCATTTGCCTCTGTTCCTCTTCTTTTGTGGGGAAAGGACTCTGGGCTAGCTTCCTGAGCCAGGAAAGAGAGACTGAGCATGAAGCTGGTCACGGCAGGAAAGACTTGGCACTGATACAGAGATGATCCAGTGTCTTGTTCTGAGAACATGGTCAGGTCATTGACCAAGGCCTTCAGCAAGTCAGGTTCAACCCACAAAAGGTACAGAAGTTAAGGTCCTCCAAAGTCATTCTCTTAGCACTGATTCTGGGCCCTCTGGAAGGACAAGAGAGGCTCCTCACCCCTTACCCCACCCGATGCCCACCATCCTGAGCTCGGCAGGACCCCATCTGTTCAGGCTCCTTGAAGCAGTCTTCCCTGGCCTCCAGCTGCTGGCCTCCCTCCACACACCAGGATGCTAGGAGGGAAGGACAAACCTTGTGAAGCAGACAGGAACACAAGTTTCAAGGTTGATGACAATTGTCCAAGGTCTCTGGGCAAGTCAGCAGCAGGGCTGGCCTGGACTCCATCTTCTGATTCTAGCCTGGGCTCCTTCCCGTGCCCCTGTACAAGGTCCATGGCCAGGGCTAGAAGAGGAAGTAGGAGTCCTCAGTCAGGCCAGCAGACAGCAAACACCTAGCCATGTCCTCAGTGAACGCAGGTGAGCCACAGACTAATGTGAAGGGCTTTCTCCGGCAGCAGGCTACTAGCTCATCAACCAGTTCCTGGCCCAGGCGCCCAAAGTGGGTCTTCTCACGGTAGCTCCAGGGAAGCTGCTCTGGGGAGACCTCCTGGGAAGACAAGAAAGCAATCATGACTTCTGGGGTTCTCAGTGTTCATCCAGCCAGCTCTCTTCCTCCATTGTGGGAAATGGTAGAAAACCCTTCACTAGAAGCAGCTCCTAGTTCCTGGGGCTAGGGAGCCAGGATGGAGAGGGCCCTGGAGAGAGGGTCCGAACAACTGCCATGCTGAGTTACTAACCTCTGAGCTATGAGATGAAGGCCTGGGCTGTGGAAAGCCATGGCCCTGCCAGCAAGAGTAACACCACAGCCCCGTGGGGACCGAGGAGCAGGGGCTCCTAGTGTCCCACATGCTTTCAGACCTTGTAGCCTCACCCCAAGGAGTCTGGATGACTTCCATGTCCTCTAGTGCTGTCAAGGGGCATTCTCTGACGATGTGAGTCTTCCCACGCTCCCCCAAACACTCTCCCTACCTGGTAGAACCTTGAGGGCAGAGTCGACAGATCTCACCAGCCTCATCTCTCCTTCCCACTTCCTGATTCTCCCCAGTTGTGCACCCCAAGAATCACTGAGTCTGGTTACTCCTCAGCTGTGGCAGAGCCCCTTAAACAATGATAGACAGGTAGGTGCTGTGACGGCAGAAGCCGGGCTGTGAAACACTAGCAGCACTTGGGGCTCTGAGCCTGCAGGATGGACTTCCACCTCAGCAGATCCAGGAAGGGTGAGCAGGTGTCGGGAAAGGAAGGGGAAACAGCACATCTGGTGTGGGGCAGCAGGAACAAAGGTTAGCTGCCAGAAAAGCACAGGACCACTGTACCTGCAAGCTCAGGATCACTGTACCTGCAAGCTTAGGACCACTGTACCTGCAAGCTCAGGACCATTGTACCTGCAAGCTCAGGACCATTGTACCTGCAAGCTCAGGACCACTGTACCTGCAAGCTCAGGACCACTGTACCTGCAAGCTCAGGACCACTGTACCTGCAAGCTCAGGACCACTGTACCTGCAAGCTCAGGACCACTGTACCTGCGAGCTCAGGACCACTGTACCTGCAAGCTCAGGACCACTGTACCTGCGAGCTCAGGACCACTGTACCTGCGAGCTCAGGACCACTGTACCTGTGAGCTCAGGACCACTGTACCTGCGAGCTCAGGACCACTGGACCTGCAAGCTCAGGACCACTGGACCTGCAAGCTCAGGACCACTGGACCTGCAAGCTCAGGACCACTGGACCTGCAAGCTCAGGACCACTGGACCTGCAAGCTCAGGACCACTGGACCTGCAAGCTCAGGACCACTGGACCTGCGAGCTTGACAGTGACACTGGGACACAGCATTAGGGAAGGCCTCACAGCAGGCCAGGAGATGGAGCTCCCAAGGTCAATAGGCCAGTGGGCTTGGGAAGTCCTGAGAACAGTGGGAGCCAGGGAAGGGCTGGGAGGAAGGCAGTGCAGAATGAAGGGCAAGTTGGCAGGAGGCGGCAGGAGGCAGGGAGACCTGAAGATGCTGTCGCCAGGCTCAGGCAAGGAAAAAAGCAGCCTGAGTGGCAGGTGGGTGCAGGTGGGTGAGCAGAGCTACCATAGTCACCCCTTACCCCTGTCCAAGCTAAAATGCTACCTCTTTCCTGCAACACTCCTGACCTCACTTGCCCTCCCTGCTGGCCAGCAATCAGCATGGATGTGTGCTACCGGTGGACACGAAGAGAATGGCCTCTGGGCAGGACCAGCTGGGCTGGTACCCAGGTCTCGGTTACTGCTACCCTGTTACTTCAGCTCTATATCTGTAAAGGAGACAGGATGGCAGTACAAGCCTCAGGAGACTGTAGTGGGGACTGATGTGCTCTGAATGGTACAGAGACTTGTTCAAAGAAGAGCAGTATCCTGGTCAGTTTTGTCACCTCATTAAGCTGGAGTCATCTGAGAAGACGGACCCTCAGGTGAGTAAATGCCTCGAGATCAGACTGGCCACAGCAAACCTGTGGAGCACATCCTCTCATCCTGTCTTTTTTCATTTTTTTTTTAATGAGACAGGGTCTCCCTATGCCTAGGCCTTGGCTCTATGTTCTAGGTCTTGGCTGGCCTAGAACTCACTATGTAGACTAGGCTGGCTTCAAACTCATAGGGATCTGCCTGCTTCAGTTTCTCAAGGGCTGGGATTAGGGTGTGTGCCATCACACCAGCTCATTTTCTTAGTTGACGATTGATGTGAAAGGGTCCAGCTCACTATGGGTGGTGCCATCCCTGAGCAGGGCCCTGGGGTACAGAAGAAAGTAAACTGAACAAGCCAGGAAGAAGCATTCCTTCAAGGTCTCTGCTTTGGTTCCTGTCTTGGGATCAGGCTTCAGCCATGACTTCCATTCCAGATGGACTACAGCTGAAGGCTGAAACAAACCCTTATTCCCAAGCTGCTTGGTCAGGGTCTTTATCAGCAAGAGAAGACAGTTAAGACACAGCAACGACCAGCTGTCCCTGTGGACAGGTGGGTGCCTCGAGGACAGGACGTATCTGACCTTCATTTGTGTCCCCAGCATCTCATTTGGTTGAGGACAGAGGAAACGAGGGCTAGCCGGCAGCCAGGTGAGCTTGCCAGGTGCCCGTGTCCTGTTCCCCTTCCTGGCCTGCGCTTTTGTGGGGCTGCTGTGCTGTGGGCCTGCGGCCTTCCCTCATCCCCTCAGCTGCACACCAGCCTCCTGCTTCATGCCCTGCCTTGGGCACTTCCTGCTGCTGTTAATGTTCCCCAAACAGACCCTCCCAAGTGCATGTCAGAGAGCTTTCCACCTGTGGACAGGTCTGAAGAGCCCAGCTCTGCAAAGCTCTGCAGGGAGAGCAATCCAGTTTCCTAGCCCCAGACGTAAGGTTGAGGATCATATAAACTGCCAGAGATTTTCCAGAAATGTCTCAAAAAGGAAACTGCAGTACAGGACTATATGGCTGACCTTCAAGCACAAGGAAATGGGAGGTAGGCGGGGTGGAACCCCATCCTAGGGAGGATAGGAAGGAGCAAGCCCAGACCCTTAAGAAAGCAGGAGACAGTGGCGATGGAAGGCCTGGCCTGAGATAGGGCATGCTGTGGCAGGAGTGGGGGATGGGGACACAGGACGCAGGACGCAGGTGCCTTCTGGCTAGAGTACCTGCAGCTCTCCGAGTGGCTGTTCTGCTGCTGTGTGGAGGAACAGATGGAGGTGGCAGAGACCTCACTGAAGGCACTGCCAGTCAGTCTTGATGGAGCTCCTACTCTGAGCCTGGCCTCATGCTAAGCATCATGGGGAGTATGTGAGGCCACATCCTCAGCCCCAAACACCTGAACAGGGCTGCTGCTGCTGCCTTTGCCCCACATTCAGGTCCCAGCCCACACAAGTGATCCCAGGAGGTCGACAGCTGTAAACTGGAGCTCAGGAGTATGAAGCATGGGGCCCAGGCCCGACTCCCCCAGTTTGCAGCATGCCCCTTTCCCAGCACCTCTGTAAGCTTTCTTCCTCCTCTGTGACGGACTTGGTAATGCCTACTTTCCACACGGAGCACCTGGCATACTAATATAGCACAGGGCACAGAGACTGCAGCCAGGCCTCAGGACAGCACAAAGGAAATGCAGCTTCTAGGGGAGGAAGTCCTCACCCTGGGCTCACCTGACTGAGGACAAAGAAGGTTCGCACGTTCCAGAACCTGGCCTGTTCCTGGAGGAAGGTCTTCAGGTAGATGTTCTCGAAGGTCTTGAAGCAGCCAACCAAGGTGACCAAGGTCTCATCATCTGCATTGTCTGTGATGCTCTGCAGGATGGGCACCATAGGGGCCAGGCCTGTGCCGGCTGCCAGCATGAGGAGTTCACCGTACTAGAGAGAGTGGACAGAACAGTGCATGGTGGGGTCTCACCCACTACCCATCGACGGGTCTTTCCTTGGCTAAGCTGGGCAGCAATGCCTTTCTCAAGGGTCCCACCCATCTACCCCAGTGCAGGAAGTCACCTGGTTTGTGAGCAGCAGGCAAGGCCCGAAAAACACAAGTTAGGGGATTCTGAGGCTCCTACACTGTAGCTCAACCTGAAAGAGGCTTGGCTGCCTTTAACACTTCCCCACACGGACTCTGCTTACATGTTTGTGCTAGCAAGGAACTCACTACCTCCCAAAGCCACTTCCTCTCCTACCAAAGCCTTCCCCTCCCAACTCCATCGCAGCCTGCGCTCTGGACTGCCTCCTCTGACCCTGGGGAGCTCTGCAAAGGTCTTAGGATCCCAGTCTAGAACCCCAAGTCTCTCTTCTCTGAATCAAATGAAGTGATGTATACATGTACCTAGCCTGGCACTGTAAGGTAAGTTCCTGCCCAAGAGACCTAGTACCACCAACCTCCTCGGTGAGCCCATGTCCTGTTTCTAGGTTTCTTTAAAAAAGGGCAGGCCTTTTCAAAGTCAGTTTCCTTCCTTCCTTCCTTCCTTCCTTCCTTCCTTCCTTCCTTCCTTCCTTCCTTTCTCTCTTTCTTTCTTCTCATTTGTTTGTTTTTGGTTTTTTTTCAAGGCATATTTTCTCTTTGTAGCCCGGGCTGTTCCTGGAACTCACTCAGTAAACCAGGCTGGCCTTTAAACTCAAGAGCTCCGCCTGCCTCTGCCTCCTGAGTGCTGGGATTAAAGGCGTGCGTCACCACCGCCAGGTTCTCAAAGTCAGTTTCTTAAAGGTCAGTGCCTGACCCACACAGGAAATTGCCTACCTTTTTCATTCTAGAGATTAGACTTGTGTGTATAGATCCCAACCATGTGATCAGGCAAGCTATTGTCCTAATCTGAGCCTCAATTTCTTCACTGGTGGAAAACAATAATTAGAGAATTTTCCCAAAATAGCTCCTCTCTCAGAACCACCATGAGGTAACTTGGAGGCCCAGTATGGAGTTGAGGTTTAATCATTTCAGCTCTCCCCCTGGTTAAGCCTGAGATCCTGGGCTGGGTCACCTCGTCCTGCAACCATGGTGCCTCCAGCCTCCGGGTCTTTGACCCACCTCACCCTCCTTTTCTCTCATCCTCGCTCAGGTTGTGTTCTGGGAAGCCTTCCCTGAGCAGTGCTGGGGTGGGGGCTCTTCCTTTCTGCCCCCCTAGTGCCTTGAGCCTCCCTCACACAACACTGGTAAATACTGTTGTTTCCTCCTGGACGGACGCTAGTGTCTGCCTGTGGCATGAAGGCACAGACAGACATTGTATGGCTGATTTAACGAGACAGCTATAGAGCAGACCTGGCAAGGGATAGGTACCCGAGCCCTCTCAGGGAGCGCAGCCGACCCTGGCAAAGCTTTGGTGGCCAATATGAACATGGGGCACTGCCCCTGCCCCTTTGCTGCTGGACCTGGGTGAGAAACAAAAGGCTCCGACGTGCCCAGGATGCAGGCCACAGGCCCTGGGGGCTCCCTCATGGGAAAGGTGGTCTGAGGGCCGTTTGCTCCAAACTAGGAAAAGAGACAACATCCACACCCGGCTCTCAGGGTCTGGGGGACACAGAATGCAGGGATGACTGTGGATAATACCAGAACAGTGCTGGAGAGTGATAACATATGCACCTTCATGTGTAAAATGGGAGCGAATCACCCGCAGGCTGCCGTGAGGGCTGAGTGAGCCACCACGGGCAAGTGTTAGGGCAGAGCCTGCACAGAGGGTGAACCACACGTGGGTTTGGAAGTATGCATGGGGGTATGTGTTTCCTGTGATTGTGGGGGTGGAGCCTGGACCCTACAAGTGCTAGGCAAGCGGGCTACACTGAGCTACATCCCAGTGCTGATAGAGCTGGTATCGTGATGCTCATATACACATGTGCGTGTACATGTTTGTACATACTCCGTGTGGGGGAGAAGGTTTGGAAGTGAGGACATGAGGCTGGCATCCCGGGGAGATGGTTTGCAGGTGCACTCTTCTTTCTGTCTGTCTCTGACGTTTTTTTTTTTTTTTTTTTTTTTTTTTTGGATTAGAGAACATGTTTTGCATTTATAATAAGGGAAAATACAATAAAAGCTATTTTTAAATTAAACAAAAAGAATGGCAAGGCAAGCATGATTCATTACTTCCCACTTGTTTTGGTTTTCCTTTGTTTTCCTAATTATAAAGGTAATAGGTGCTCATTCCAGATAATTTGGAAAGTATAATGAAGCAAATGAAAATTGCTCATAATTCCCCCACCCCAACCTGCTAACATTTCATACATTTTCCATATGCATTTTTTTCTGTGCATCTTAAGTTAGTTTCCCTACTGGGTGTATATTGTTTTGTGCCTAGTACTTGTTACTTGCTTTTATAACATAAGTGTAGAGCATCATTAAAAATATAACTTCAAAGTCTAGAATGTTCTATCAAGTATCTGTAACTCAGTGTACTTAACTGTTTCCTTTGTTGGATACTTGGTCGCCTCTGTCTTTTGTTATTATAAATAAGAACGCCACTAACGCATGTGAAAGAAGCAGTTTGATTTTTTTTTTTTTCTCTCTTTGTAATAGACTTCCAGAAATGGAATTACTGGGTCAAAGGATTCTCAAGACTCTTGATACATACTACTGGAATTCTTCCCAGGCATGAGACAGCTAAAGAGAAATGACCAGTTCTTTCTGGGAAAGCTGGACAGAGATCCAAGCCTGCCGTGGAGATGAGGACAAGAGACTTCCAATCTAGAAGTACTCAGCTCTCAGCAGTGAGTGTAGGCTGTATTCAGCTTCCTGAGAAGCTGATGAAACTTACTGAAGCAGCAGATGAGAGTCAGAGGGCATTGGGGTCCTGAACCCCAAGTACTCAAGCCTGATTTCCTGAGGCACAGGCAGCCATCAACAGTTTCAGAGTCAAGTGGGCAGTTTTGTTTCCTAGGGCCTGTCTATCCCCTCCCTTGTCTAAGTCCAACACTGCTCTGGGCATTGGGTTTATGCAGTGGAAGAACAGCGCAGTGTGCTTCTATAGCCTGGAACAGGGAACTCACAGGAGACAGACCTGGCGAAGCTCCTCAGGACTGAAGGACTGACCTTGTTTGGTTCATATAAGAAGCTTCCGAAAGGCCCTCTCCAGAAAGCTGTGTCTCCTGTTCTCCAGGACTCCACATACCGGGACATCAGCCCGGTCTGATAGCACTTGAAGCAAACACAGGGAACAGTCAGTGGACGGGGCACGTTCTCTGCACAAACCTCCCCAGCCAGCACCTGGAGTTCCTTCTAAACGCTCAGGGTCTCCTGAGGGGCTCAGGTTGTCTTCCTCTGCACCCTACCTGCTGGAGCTGCCATCTACCCACACAAGGTGGCTGGTAAGGCTGAGATGAGACTCCAGTGGACCTACCAACTTCAAGGTCTCACATCCAAATGCCCGAGGAGACCATGCAGGGGACGCAGCCCAACAAAGAACTGGGTAGTTACTAAAGGCAACTAACACTCAGTGTCAGAAAGACAGCAGTCTGCCAAGGGGTGGTCCTTCTTACAGGGAAGCTATTTTGCAGGTGCTAGTCGAGTTTGTGGGGCAGATGTCGCCAGATCTTAGGAGTCTTCCAAGAAATGCAGGAGATTCATATTTTTACTGAAAACCTTGCCACTTCTGAAATGTCAGCAATAAACTCATAATTCTGTAATCCTGGGCAGGCTAAAGCCAAGTACATTTGTACACTGTCTCTGGCTCATTCTATACCACCTCCTGGTGGGATGACTACTATGTGAGGGAGCTGTCTATACTGCCTGTCTGCTCTGTTCTGAGCACCATGCTGGGGTAGAGGGTACACAGTTAGACCTGAAACACCATGAAGACACCCAGTGCCTGAACCATGAACATAGCAATAAATATTCCTTATCCAGTCAGGCCTCCTCTGAAAGGGCTCAAAGTATGGGAAGGATGTATATAGACATCTCAGACATAAACAAGGTAGATACTGCCTCACACTCCACAAAGAGGAACCCTGCTGAGCCCATGCAGTGAGATAAAGCTGGCCTTCTTGGAGGTGGAGATGCTTGAGCTGGGGCAAACTGGATTCCTGGGCATCTGCAACAGAATGGTCAACAGCATAGAGCCCAGGCCTTCTCAAGAACAGATGAGCACGCAGGGATAGGGTCAGGGCAACAGTGAGGGACCAAACTGCAAGGGTGGCCGGGATGACCCCAGGCTGGAAGGAGAGACCAGATTTGGTGGTCAGACCTGCCTTTGAGCATCCACAGCCACCCTGACACCATCTGCATGAGGCACTGCAGTGGACTAGCCGGCACAGGAAGTCCCTGCTCACCTGGGAGGGGCCCGGGAGGGAGGGGCCTTACTGCAAGCTGTGTAGGAGCACACTTTGGTTTCTGGGCCCAATTTGGGGAAAGTAATTATCTCAGCTATGGGGGGCTACAGAGATGGTTCAGCAGTTCAGAGCACTGGCTACTCTTCCAGAGGACCTGGGTTTCCAGCACCCACATGGTGGCTCACAACTGGCTGTAACTCCAGTTCCAGGGAACCAGACACTTAGACATACACACAGACAAAACGCCCAAACACATAAAGGAACAAGCAAGCAAACAGAATCCCAGCTACGGCCCTAGATGCCCCAGGACAGGACAACACCGGAGAAGGTGAGCCTGGCTTGGAGTAACCATTCAACAGAGACTAACCCAGGTTCAGTTTCTTCATCACTAAAGTGAGGATAATACGGTCTTCTGAGGTCATGAGTTGAAATGAGAAAATGTGAACAGAGTTACAAGCAGTGTAATCAGTGCCCAGCAGGAGCCTCTAAAAGAAACCTTCCTTCATTTCCTTGAGGGAAAGTCAACCCACAAATTCCCACAGCCTTCCCAATTTGCAAAGACATTTCCAGCTCTTCCCAGCCAGTGGCTTAGGGATAATGAGATACCTCTCCGAAGGAGAAAATCAGCCTTGCAGCTGGGAGGGATCCAGCTGCTCTGGAGGACTGTCTCCAGGCTTATCCTCTCAGCAGAAGCACCCTAGACAAGCAGCGCAGGGAAGCAGGCCATTTGGAGAGGATTTGTGGAATCTCCCAGACAAACAGTAGCGTGCAGAAGGGAGCTCGTCCAGGCTTATGTGGGAAGGAATAAACATTCGGCTCTACAGACAGGCAGGGAAGCAGGAGCCCAAGGCGGCCGGAGGCCTCAGAGTCAGGGGCTTGCTTACCCACAGCGCTCCTTCCTCCCTTTCCACCTTGGTCCTCAGCCTGCTGACCAGTGAACCAGGACGACACAACCGTGTAAGGAGGCTTAGCTATGAAATCTGTCCTTCAGTATTGATGCTCCCTATTCCACGAGGGAAATGCTCTCACTTGCAGGCATGGCAGACCTGTGGCCTGTGGTCACAAGAAGCTAAGGACAGTTATGAACGTGGCCTGACACTAGATCGAAAACTTATTTTAAAACATCATTAGTGTTTTTGTTTTGGGGTTTGTTTGTTGATTCAATTGTTCTGGAGCATGAACTTTGTAGATGGCAGCATGGTGTTGCCAGGCTGGACATGCCTGGCAGAGCTACAACAGGTTGAAGCGCACAAAGCTGGACTTGCTGCAAGCCAAATGTCAGAGGGTCAGTGGGTCCATGAAAAGCAATCTACTTAGTTTCTTCACGCTAGGCCTCCATGACTGTAATTTATTGCTAAGATCTTGGGTCTCCAGGGCCTTTTGTATCCAATCCATTTCACTCATCTCTGACAATTCTTCCACTAGCCCAGCTGCCCCACAGGCATCCTCTTCCACCACTTGGGCTGAATACAGTCCCCAGAAGACCTGTTTCCTGTCACCCTTCCCTGTCTGGCTACAGGCGCTGTCAGCCTAGAGCGCCATTCCCTGGCACCACCAATCCACACTCCGCCTTCAAGGCCTACTCCCAGAGACAGGATGTCAGGTTAGTTCTGTCTGAAGGGTCTTCGGGGCAGTTTTCTCTTCTGGCATCCCGCCCCCTTCTGTGCCTGGATGAATGCCTTTCCCAATTCATGCAACTTCTGCGACGCTGCTCCCAGCTCTCAGAGCTTTCTCCCCTTATTTCTCTTGTTTCTCAAACACAGAGTATCTACCAGGAAGCTGGGTCCGAGTCCCTTGTATGCCAGTTGCCCTGACTTGGGCCAGGCCTCCTCTGTCATGACTAGATCATGCTGCATTGTCTTGAGGTGATAGATCACTCTGTCCTGGGCTTGGTCCCTCCAGGTCATGCTGGACCGCTGTGCCAGCACACACGGGTGCAGGGACTTGCTCCTGCTGCATCTCAGCTCAGTATTCTCTTTCCATCGACTGGTGGAAGGTGATCAGACACAGCTTTCCTAAAATCTCCCAATAACACGCCCTCCGGAACGGCCAGCAGCACTCTCCTTAGAAATGGAGAGGGAAGAGGTCTCCTAGCTATTTATCCTTCAAGTCAGCCTATTCTCATGCCAACTAATAGACCGGAACCCCTCCACCCAATCAAGCTAGAGGGGGAGGTCCAAGTCCATAGCCCTTACAGAATCCTCACCAAGAATCAACTCACCTTGATTAAAACATCAAAGTAGCCTTCCGCAGTGACGGGGCTGATGGGAGTATAGGCTCTCTGAATTTCCAAGCCATTGACTATACCTCTGGGAAGGAGAAGCACACAGACAGTAGGTAGTCAGTCGTTTAACAGACTCTTACCAGGCACTTCCTCGGCCAGGCTAAGGGACACAGAGGTGGGATCCAGTCCCTCGCAGAGGTCCTCACCCAGGGACAGGTAAGGAACAGCAGATGGAAGGGCACTGAGCTCACCACTACCCATGCTACTTGTGAGACCTGGGCAGGTCACTTAATCCCTCAGCAGCATCTCCTGAGAAGCAGGAGTAGCCATTTAGGTCCTGGTTGTGTGCTTCACTGGAGTCACACAGAATAGTATGTCAAAAAGAACACTGATTTAAAAAAAACTGCACTGATGGTGTGAGCAGTTTGTGGGACATTCCTGCGGTTTCCTGACTTCTTCACTACAAAACAACACAGATTAAAAACAACTGCTAAGATTTATGAAACATGACCATAGACCAGCAAGTATCAGAACTGGAAGAGTCTTCCCAGGGGCTTGAAGCCAAAGCCCTGTCAATGTATAACTTGTCTTTACAATGTTACCAACAATGGGGTCTGGAGAGCAATCATGAATTGTGATAATAGTTATGAGGTATGAATGTCTGTTGCGTACCAGGCATATTATATGCACAGTTGTATTTAAAATAACAACCTAGGGCTGGAGAAATGGCTCAGAGGTTAAGAGCACTCACTGCTCTTGCAGAGGACCTGTTTGGATCTCAGGACCTATATCAGACGGCTCACAACTGCCAGTAACTCTAGTTTCAGGGGATCTGATACCTTCGTCTGACCTCCATGGACACTGCACACATGATGCACAGGCATTCACTCAAGCACACATGTATACATATAAAATAAAAATAAACAAGTCTTAAAAAAAAATCCAGAGCTAGGTGTGGTGGCGCACGCCTTTAATCCCAGCACTCAAGAGGCAGAAGCAGGCGGATCTCTGTGACTTCAAGTCCAGCCTGGACTACAGAGTGAGATCCAGGACAGGCACCAAAAACTACACAGAGAAACCCTGTCTTGAAAAACAAAAGCAAAACCAACCAAACCAACAAAAAATCCCGAACGCAATGCTAAGTAAGAGAAGGAAAGCCACATGCACAGCTGGCATTTACTGAGGCTCCAACTCCAAGTTCGGTCCTGCTCCTCCAAGTATTCAGGGAGCCGAGTGTGGCGGTGCACCCTTTAGTCCCAGCACTTGGGCGGCTGAGGCAGAAAAAGCATGAGTTTGAGGCTGGCCTGGCATACATAATGACCTTGAAAAAACAAGCCAAAATAAAAAACAGAACCCAAAACCAAACAGTGACAGAAATCCTGACAACTTACTTCCCAGGAATACCCAAACACTTAGCCTAACTGTATGCACAACATTCTGCCCTGGTGTCTACAAAGATTGCAAGGCCCTGTCCAAGGGCATCAAATGCAGGGGCTAGACAGAATGTAAGACACGTTTTTTTTTTTTTTTTTTTTTTGGTTTTTCGAGACAGGGTTTCTCTGTGTAGCTTTGCGCCTTTCCTGGAACTCGCTTTGGAGACCAGGCTGGCCTCGAACTCACAGAGATCCGCCTGCCTCTGCCTCCCGAGTGCTGGGATTAAAGGCGTGCGCCACCACCGCCCGGCAAGACACGTTTTGAGATATACCCAGAAACCAAGAGTGGAACAGACCATGGCTCAGACGTGAAGCACAGGACACCACCTCCTGCAGGTAAAGGCTGATGTGTCTGAGAGCACTGTGAGCACTGTCCTCTGTGAACTCGGGAGTCTGCTGGAGTCAGGTACTGAGGCATGAGCAGGCCAGTGACAGGTGGGGCCAGGCAGAGGGAACAGGCCAGGCTGGACAGAGGCAGGCAAGTCAGGAACTGGTAACTAGAGCACATGTGCAGTAGGGAAGGGAGGGCCTGACAGGAAGGGAGGACCTGGCAGGAAAGGAGGTTGGGTAGCCATGGAGTAGAGTGTCATTATGGAAGCAATGAGGAGCACCAGAACATGTCTTAATGAGTGACATGGTCAGACATATTAGGAATGTCACTGGGGGGTAGAGAGAATGGAGGGGAGTCAGCCTAGAAGTTGGGTGTCCTGGCCACTCCAATTCATGGATGGAGAGTTGCATAGCATTGTAACCTACACTGTGGCTTCTCCTGCCAACTCTTTTCCATACCAGGGGCTGGTGTGAGTTAGGTGGCCAGTCTGGCCAGCAGGAAGCTCTCTTTCTCGTTCCCTCCCATGTCTTTTGATCATGTGTTGTTTGGTTTTTTGCTTTGTTTGTTTGTTGGCTCCTTCTCTTCTTTTTTTTTTTTTTTTTTTTTTTTTTTTTTTTTTTTTTTTTTTTTTTTGGTTTTTTCGAGACAGGGTTTCTCTGTGTAGCTTTGCGCCTTTCCTGGGACTCACTTGGTAGCCCAGGCTGGCCTTGAACTCACAGAGATCCGCCTGGCTCTGCCTCCCGAGTGCTGGGATTAAAGGCGTGCGCCACCACCGCCCAGCTGCTCCTTCTCTTCTTGCCAACCTCATAAGCTCCAGCACTCTCGGGGTTCAGATCTATGCCCTTTGTTCTTCCCACATATGCACATGCTCCTGCATACTGTTTGGGTGTGTGATGACATCTTCCAGACCTGCGTTTGCAGTACTGATCTTTCTGCTGAGCCACACATACCCACAAATGGCTGTCTGAAAGACATGTCTCCCTGGCATGGTGGGGATGGGTCAGGTTGGAGACCCACAGCAGTTCAGAAGGAAGCTCAGAGCAGGACTCTCAGAGGAGAGGACACTAATGTAGCTCAGCAGCCAGGCTGTCTGGGCTGGAATCTGGCTTCCACTACTTGGTAGTTGTGTGATACTGGGAAACTTTTTTGTTGGCTTGCTTGAGTTTTCTTTTATTATTACTGTTTTTGAGACAAGATATCATATAGCCCAGGAGAGGCTCAAACTTGAGATGTAGTTGAGGCTGACCTTAAACTCTTAATTCTCCTGCCTCTACCGCTTAAATGTTCAAGTTCTTTACTCTCTTGTGTCCTTTCCATCATCCGATACTAATTACACTAGCTCCAAAGATAGACTTCTTGCTTTCAAATCCTGATCCAACACTTCCTGTGTGACCCTGAGCAAGTTCCTGAACCTCTCTGACTTCGGTGTCCTCTGGGGATGATAATGGCACCTACCAGCCAGGATTTTGTGAAAGGTTAAATGAGTTCATGAATGTGAGTAGACAGAACTGTGCCTTGGCTAGTAAGAGCTGTGCCTTGGCTAGTAAGAGCTGTGCCTTGGCTAGTAAGAGCTGTGCCTTGGCTAGTAATTGATATTAAAGTACTGCTGTTATTATCTATCACAAAAACACCTTACTGCGCTCCATGTCAAGGACCCTGAGTCACACACTCCTGTGTCTATTCTGAAGATGGCAAACAAGGGCTTAAGAAAGGCCAAGCAAGCTGCCCCAGGCTACTCATCTGGTCAGTGGCAAAGCAGGGAGCAGGCGATGGTCCTCCCTCTGTCGGAGTGTACCGTAGGATGAGGTGCTGCCCAGGATGCAGGCCGAGCTGACTGTTCCCAGGGAGTGTAAACCGGACACAATAGGTGTCTTTGGTGAGTTTCTCCACGGCACTGATGTGGAAGGCCAGGAAGGTCTCTGGACTCAGCTTGGTGGAGCAGCCCTGCAACAGGAAAAGACTTGACTTCTGGAGCTCAGGCCTAAGGGACATACATCCTCGCCACTTTCACCGGTGGGGGCCATCTCTTGATGTGACAGAGTTGGCCCTACCTTGCTTCCCCTTTATGCACAGCACATGGGGTTTACCCTGCTTTTAAGCTTTCTGTGGCTCTCCACAACCCCAGGACCAAGCACAGGCTCCTTAGCCTACACTCAAGGGAGCAGTGGACAACCACAAGCTTCATTTATCTGCCACAGAACAGATGGCAGATTTCCATTCCTCCTCCCAAGGCCACCTGTCACTGCCCACCTCAAGGTCTTATTTAAGTTCAAGTTGTATCCTCTACACAAAACACTTACCCCAGTGTACTAAACACCTGCTCATCCTTCAGACCTGTTAAGTTCCAGATCTGGAGAGCTGAAAAACCGATGGAGCCTTAGAGATGATCCAAGCCAATATCCTTGTATCACATTTGGGGAAACTGAGGCCGATGGCAGTAGCTTATGAAAGGTCTCAGGTCTTGGATTTCAGAAGGAACACAGAGGTGAGTTGTCCTTTAAGGACAGAAGAGTTGTTGACACCAGAGATAAAGAATATGGCAGGGTTCCAAAGAAAATTCAGGCCCATGAGGCTAAGAGGGGTTTCCCTCTTACAGGCTTCGGAGAGAAAAGGGAGGTTCCCCCATCATGTAGTTGATGAGTAGCCCATAATACATGTGGGTGGTCAGGTTGTCTCTGACTCCTAGGAGGTAGGAAAAGGGGAAAGGTTCAGCCCTTCAGTTAACCTGTGTTCATAATATGTAACTGTCCTAAACTTACTATGCAGACCAGGTGGATCTGGAACGCAGAGATCCTCCTGCCTCTGCCTCCTAAGTGCTGCAATTAAAGGCATGTGCCACCACACCTGGTTCTCTCCTTTGTATGATGTTCATGCTTGGCTTACCTGAGAAAGGTTTGGGTGCAGCACTAAACTTGGATCTCAGTAACCAGTGTCTCAGCGTTGACAGGCTTGGTGTCCCACTCTCCATCTCAGCCCCCTTGAGCCAGGATGAACTAGGCTTCATCAGTCACAGTTGCTGAGAACTCTGTCACAGCTGCCTGTGGCTAAAGAACACTGAGCTGGAGTCAGGACACTGGGATTGATCAGGCTAGCTGCTATTTCTGGGCCTCGGTCTCCTATTATGTAAAGAGGCCATTCATCTGGTAGCATTAAAAGGTTATAGAGGTAAGATAAACTAGCATAACATAGGTGGTTGTTTTTGTGTGTGTGTGTGTGTATGTGTGTGCATGTGTGTGTGTGTGTGTGTGTGTGTGTGTGTGTGTGTGTGTGTGTGTGTGTTTTGAGACAGGATCTCATGTAGCTCAAACTGACCTGACTCACTACATGACCAAGGTTGACTTCGAATCCCCGATTCTCCTGCCTCTAGCTTCCAAGTGCTAGGATTAAAAGAGTGTGCCACCACAGAGCTTTGAATATGTATTTCATAAAATGTAAATTGCTATGGAAATGTAATCTATTATTATTACTTCATCACAATTTAAAAGACAAAGCTATTGGGTTGAAATATGCTGTTTTGCAACATCACTCAATTTTCTCTTATCACAGGTGAGTACAGCCACTATATACTAAACATGTAACTATTCATGAAATGTATGTTCTTTTTGAGGTGAGAAATGAAATCAGTAAACTCCAGGGAAAACTGAGTAACGATAGCACCCCTTATATACCTAGTCTGTATACTACCACATGTTAGTTTGCGCTTTTGAAGGCAAGGACTGTCTTGCTGACCACAAATCCTCAATAGCTCACAGGACCTGGCATATAAGAGTGTGGGGGTTTAAAAGAAAATGGTCCCCCAAGGGAGTGGCACTATGAGGAGGTATGGCCTTGTTGGAGGAAGTGTGTCACTGTGTGGGTGGGCTTTGAGGTGTCTTGCTCAGGGCTTCCCTCAATGTGACTGTCAGTTGACTTCCTGTTGCCTGCAAGATGTAGCACTCTCAGCTCCAGCCCCACGACTGCCTGTACACTGCCATGCTTCCCTTCATGATCATGATGGACTGAACCTCTGAAACTGTAAGCAAGTCACCCCAATTAAATGTTTTCTTTCTAAGAGTGGCCGCAGTCATGGTGTCTCTTTAAAGCAATAGTAAACCCTAACTAAGACAAACAGGTATTCAATGGATATCTGTTGAGTAAAATAATTATTAGGTTCTGTGCTAAACATTACAAACACCTGAGTCCATTTTGCAGAGGGGAAACTAAGGCTTCAAGAGGTTAAGGGGCTTCGATTAAATCCACATAGCTACTAATAGGTTGACTTCAGGTCTGGGACCTTGCTCCCCCGATCTATCTGCTTTCATTATCTACTTTTACTATCTACTTCTTTCTCTCCACGGTCCAGTCAAGGAAGGCTTCCCACAGCAGTGCACTGGGCAGACAGATACTGAGACTCTGGACTCCTCACCTGGGTCTCAGGTGGCTGCTTCCCACTCAGCAGGCTCCTGTCATTTCTGGCTCGGGCTGCTTCCCATCTTTCCAGGTCTCGGTAATAGAGGTCAAACACACAGGGTGAGCAGCCACTCCCGCAGCACTGGGAGGGCAAGGGCTCCATGGGCTTAAGCTTCAGCCAAGCTTCAGCATCCTTGTCCTCCCTCTCACCCATTGTCAGTGGGGCTGGGGCAACACGGACAAAGGGACAACCGGAATAGGCCAGGCTCTCCTTCGCTGTCAGCCTGGGAGAAGGAAAACGTGTGGGTTATCATCTGTCCTCCTCTGTCCCACACAAGCTCCTCAAGGCCTGCCAGGCTATAGGGACAGCGATGGCTCCACCAGGGATCTGCTGTCAGAAGGGACATACTTACTACTTACAGTGTGTGTGTGTGTGTGTGTGTGTGAAATAAATCTTAGCAGAGAAGGGGATTTGGCTTCAGAAAACCTTTTTCTACTGTACAAGAAGCTCTATGGCTTCAGTATGGTTCTGAGGCTGGGACACCAGGGAGAACAAGGTTGGTGTCTTACTCTCTTTCTGTATTCTCCTGCCCAACAACCTGGCACATGGAAAGCCCCTACTGACTGGTGAGTGGTCACTCGATGGTCTGGGAGCCAGGCACAGGATTAGGTGCTGGAATGCAATAGAGGTGAACAGGACACAGCCCCTGTCCTTGTGAATACTCAACATGGTGTGACACCCATTCAGTCAACCCATCTTGACAGCATGCTGTGTGTCAGCTACACGAGTGAATGAGGCCTCTTTATGCCAATTGCTCTTTGGGTTTCTGTGGGGGGGCGGTATTAAAACGAGACACGTGAGGGTTAGTCATACTGTCCTCTGCCTTATATCTGCCTTCACGGGGTTTAAATAATCCTAGTGTCTCAGCTATTTTGGAAATTGGTAGAGAAGCTGGTCACATCAATTACAATTTCTAAGACATGGTTCTTTCCCATCTGGGAGGCACAATTCCTGTTGCAGCCTCGGCCTGGATGCCTCTCCCTACTCTTCAGGCCTTGGCTGAAAAGGTCATCATCCTGCCTCAGAGGCCCATCCTGAGTGTCCTCCTTGTCATTACCAAGCACTTTATCTGTGCTAGTATGCCTTCATTTGTTTGTTTGGTTGGTTTTCTGAGACCAGGTTTCGCTATATAACAGTCCTGGCTGTCCTGGAACTCACTTTGTAGACCAGGCTGGCCTCGAACTCACAGAGATCCGCCTGCCTCTGCCTCCCTTGTGCTGGCATTAAAGGCACCACCACTGTCCGGCTCTGCATTCATTTGTTAAATATACACTGCTGTCAGGCAACTGCTCTAGCGGCCAGAGACACAGCACTTCTCTGTGCTCATAGGACAGTCATTAAACGAACAAAAAAGAATAGCAACCTTGACAGAGGTTAAATGAGAGAAAAAGACCTAAAGAAGTGGATAGGAAGCGTGTGTGTGTGTGTGTGTGTGTGTGTGTGCGTGTGTGTGTATGTGTGTATGTGGTGGTGTCACTGTTCACTGTAGTTCTCTCTCTCTCTCCTCTCCCCCACCCCGTGTGTGTGTGTGTGTGTGTGTGTGTGTGTGTGTGTGTGTGTGTTGTCACTGTTCACTGTAGTTCTCTCTCTCTCCTCTCCCCCACCCCGTGTGTGTGTGTGTGTGTGTGTGTGTGTGTGTGGTGGTGGTGTCACTGTTCACTGTAGTTCTCTCTCTCTCCTCTCCCCCACCCCCCAAACCTGAGTTCTACACGTTCACCCGGTGCCTAGCACAATACCCTCCCCCAGCCCCACAGCGGGGCGAGCCCCAAGCAGGTGCTGGGGGGAAGGAGCGGCTCCTTCCCGGAAGGCGCTGGGCCGAGCTGCAGGGCGAGCAGCCGGGGCCCGAGCTGCCCCGCGGGGAGCCTACCGCTCGCAGGCTCTGGAAGCCGCAGCCAAGCAAAGCGTGGGCGGCAGAAAGAGGGGTGGAGAGGAGGACACTTCCAGAGCCCACTCCCTGGACGCAGGGCCCGCTAAGCCATTCAACTCCTAATTTTACAGTGAGGGAGACCTTCAACCTCTAAATGTCTATATAGTGGTCAAGGACGTCCCAAGTAGAGGTTGGAGGTCCCGGGACTCCTGTGGTCCCTACGCAGGGAACACCACCACTCTACCCACCTGCAAGTTCCCTCCCTGTGAGGTACCTCAGAAACCCAGAGCAGAGAGGGCTTTGCAGGTTCCACCTATAAGGATAGGCACTGCCTGAGGGGCGGGGACAAAACGGGAAATTTTTAACTGTGATTGGTTGAAGCGTCTGTCATTCGCAAAATGCGACTTTGCGCCCGGCCCCTTTCGCTCCCGGCATCCCCTGCACGGGAAAAGATGGCGGCGTCCAGGTAGAGGTCTAGTGGGGACTGGATCGGTATGGCGTTGGCGTCCGGGCCCGCTTTGCGGGCGCTTACTGGCTCTGGGAGGCTCGGCCTCGGGGGCTGCGGGGCCCCGAAACGCGGGGCGTACGAGTGGGGCGTGCGCTCCACGCGGAAGCCCGAGCCTCGCCCCCTGGACAGGGTGTACGAGATCCCGGGTCTGGAGCCCATTACCTACGAGGGGAAGATGCACTTCGTCCCGGGGCTGGCTCGGCCGATCTTCCCGCGGTGGGAGCGCGGCTGGAATGATCCACGGTTCCACCGGGCGCCCCCGATCCCCGAGCAGCCTCTGTACAAGGAACAGCCCTGCTACATATTCCATCAGCGCTGCCGACTCCTTGAGGGTGAGGCCACAGGACAAACGGGAGGAGGAGACCCTGTTCTCTGTTCAGCAGTAACCCCGACCCTGGGGAGAGTCAAGAAACCGAGGAGTGACATCCGTCTTCTAAGAGTTCTCAGGATCAAGTGGGATGTAAAGGGCAATGTTGGGAGAGGGAGCAATGGAGAATTTGAGTGTTTCCAGGATTATCTCCTCATTTCTAGGCTCGCCAACTGTAACAGAGAGGAAGTGATTTGCTTATACATTCGTGAAGGGACTCTAGCCAGCCTGGGCCTAGCAAACATTTCTCTGGCAGGCCTTGCCCTTCTCTCCCCATTCCCTCTGCCTTGCTAAAATCCATTAGATTCCATTCCTAAAGCTACCCACCAAGGTCTATTCCCTTATTTGGCCCCTTCCTCCTCCTGAGACTGACTATCTAGGTCCAGCTATCAAAGTACTAAAGCCCAACAATCAAAAGCCCCCCCTTTGGCTCGTCTAGTTAACTTGTCCAATTAAAATTAAACACCACATCCTAACACGGGGTTTCCTTCTTTACCTTTATAAGCTGCCATTTTTCTATGTGCCACATCTGTCTCCTCTCTATCCGGAGGCAGTCCTTTGTCCTACTCTGGGACAAATACCTCTCCCCCTTTTCCTTGTTCCCTTCCCCTGCTCCCTTTTCCTTCATCCCTTTCCTTTCTCCCTTGTTCTCTATCTGCTTTGTCTCTTATTCCTTGCCCTTTATTTGCACAAAGCAAATAAATCTCCATTGTGCTGAGAACTTTGTCTTAGGGGTCCTGCACTGATACGTTTCCTTTCAATAGTGAAGCTGGGTCTACAACATTAGTTTCTCAGGTCAATGTCTTTTGTTAAAAGTCTGGGATGTGTTTTCAAGGAAAGGGATTTGCACACAAAAGTCTACCTACTTAGGGTCCTGTCACTCTTTAAGAACAGATCAAAATGTCTTGAGCCAAAACCTGTCTGCTTCTCAGTATCATCAGGAATTATTTTGGAGATTGATTATTAAGAGTGCCTTTCTTCATTCTTCAAACTTCCATCTTCGCCCAGATCAGGATGAGCATAGGGCAGATCCTAAAAGCAAAAGCAATTGAGGTATGTGGGAGCAGTATTTTCCAAAGGATAGCTAGGAAAAAAAGAGATCTAGCAGGGCTTGGGGGCTAACAGAATCAACAATCTAAGTTTGGAAAACTGATAGCCGTAGGCCAGCCTCCTGAAATGCCCACTCCTATACCTGCAAGCTGATTTTTCTAGCTGTTAACCGCTTTCAGTGGACTCAGAAGGTGCTGTGAAGGGTCTCACGCGGCATGACCCTTTTGAGTACCCTGGTAGTGGATGCCAAGTGGATGTGTTTTAGAAGTTAAGGTTGTACTCACTGAACTAGTCTGAAAATGTATCTTCTGTCCTATACTTTCAAAAGTCATAGAGAGGTCTTATAAAATTACAACAAAGCCTTGCAAAATATGGGCCTGAGAAACAGATGTGGGTTATGGAGAGATTGTGGACTTTAGGGTAGGCAAGCTCAGGTTCTCCTACTTTGTGACCTTAAAGATAAGTGACTTGAAGCAAACCCCTCAATCTTGTCCAAGTTTCCCGTCATGACATAAAATCCCATCTAACTTTAGAGAAGTTCATTACACAGGAGTGACGTTCAGTAAATGATAGCTCTAAAGACTACAGATTTGTCTGTGTGCTAGAGGACCATAAAACTTGGCTCTGAGATTGCAATCAGTACATATCACAGAGCTGGGGTCAGCTAATTAAGTAGCTCCCTGTTTTTATAAATAAAGTTTTACTGGAATACAACCGTGTGCACATGTAAATTATTGCCCATGGCTGCTCTTGTCTCCAATGACAGAATTGAGTTGCTGTGAGGGACTCAGACCTAATATGAGAAAGGTTTGGTATGCATGGGAGTTTTTCTAGTCAAGGTTAGGATGTGGGTTACCAGAAGGGACTTTTAAGTGAAGGGCTGGTCCAGTGAACTAGGCTCACGGCTTTGATTCATCTGCCTGTAGGGAGTCAGCAGGGGTCAGGTCTCAGCAGTCTTGAGCATGGTTTGAACCCCTCCCATGGTAGGCACTCAGTCCCATAGTCAGTTCTCACCACCTTGAAGTAGATCGTCATTCCTGAAGTCGTGCTCTTGATCTGCTCTTTTCTTTTGGTTTTGTTCCTTAGATGTCTCAAAACAAACCCAGCCCTCTCTTGAGGCGGCCTTTTCTCCATGGTCCTACCCAGTCGGCATGAGCATCTCTTCCTGAACTGTCTTCTCTCGCTCTCTCTTTTTGTTTGTTTGTTTTGTGACGACTGTCCCACAGGTATGAAGCAGGCTCTCTGGCTAACTAAGACCAAGTTAATAGAAGGCCTGCCCAAGAAAGTGCTAAGTCTTGTTGATGATCCAAGAAATCAGATAGAGAACCAAGAAGAACGTGTTCTGGATATCATCTCTCATGCCCGTCTCTGGCACTCCACTGAGGACATCCCCAAGAGAGAGACCTACTGGTGAGTTTCCCCCAAATAAGATAGATTTTCAACTGAGGAGTGTGGAGTTACATATTGCTTTAAGTCTTCAAATATCATTTTTTCCCCCAAGCCCAGTCATTGTGAACAGCCTCATACAGCTGTGTAAGTCCCAGATTCTCAAGCACCCTTCTCTGGCCAGGCGGATGTCTGCCCAAAACTACTCTGTAACCACCACCTGGAATCGAGGTTAGTCATCCTACATCCCAGAAGGCCTTGCTGGGTTTTGTTTGGTTTGTTTGTTTACTCTCTCTGCTGCTCTCAGCCCCACCCCCAGATCCCATCCCTCCAGTCCTGCTCCTGCTGCATACTGTTTGGGTTCAGACACACCCTTTATGGGGTCTCACTCCACAAGGCTAACCTCAGACCTGGGATCCTCTAGTCTGCACTGCTGTGCCCAGCTTCTCGTTTCTGTTTTGAACTGCTTCTGAGACTTAATTCAACCATTGACAGCGGACCATATCTGTTGAGTGCCCACAGTATGCTTGGGAGGGTTTAAATGCCGAAGACAAGGAACTAATAAAACACAGTGATCTCCACCCTCATCACCCTCAGCAGCTTTCTCTCCCTTTCCTACTCCTGCACCCTTCCACAGCCAGGTTAGCAAAGCTGCTGGAGGGGTCCTTTCTTTCTTATGTGTTCCCTTGTTTGAAACCCAGGGCCGTCATTTATCACGGCTGTCCACCTCGCCCTAGTTTTCCCCGTTCTGGGGCTCCTTTCTCATATCCCTGAGTTGGTCACTTACAGCTTTTGGTGTCCAGCTTTCCCACCTGTCCGCCTTTGCCCGCGCTGTGTGCTGGGTAGTGCGTGCTGGTGCTTCAGACAGGATTGTCGGTCCAGGTGTTCTCAGTGGTGGCATTGTGGAGCGAGGAAAGCAGCTGTGGCACACTTGGGACTTGGGCTGTCTGTTTGATCAGGTTTCCTCGTCTCCCCCCTTTGCATGTGGATTTCTGGCAAGGAGTCAGCCTGGCGGAGGTAATGGCACCACTAAGGAAATTAGTGTACCTCATTAATGGAGAGTACTTGTTGGCCCGTTGTCAAGTATTACCTCTAATTAAACTGCCCCATTTTGAGCTGTCACTGGAGGAGGGATGTGGAGGGAATTGAATTAGAAACCACACTAGAGTGATCTGCGAGGAGAATCTAAAACCCAAGGTTAGGAGAGGTCTAGGCACATTTGTGTGAGGAAACAGGAAATGCCTTAGAAAACTAATCTTGAGGTGCAATTACTGCAGAAGTTATCTATCTGCAGATGTAGCATCCATTTTTTACATATCTTGGGACGCTGCCTGCTAATTAAATGGCAGTGCCGTTGACCAAACCAATTTCTAATCTTACAACAGTTCTCATCCATTACCTTCACACTGAGATTTTACTGTCTCTGAAACCCAGGCACCTGCAGGGGGTGGTGCCACTCAGCCACTCAGGATGCTGACAACAGTCTTTCTAAACACATTTCGTCAGGTGGCATGTGGCTTCCCATGGGAACAACGCAGACACCATTTCCACATTTTCACAACAAGCTCACTGGTTGGTTCGCTGTGAGTGTGTCTCCTTTGACCATCTGCATCCCCATGTAGAATCCACGCCAGTCCAGCTTACCCGAGGTGCTCTGATCTGTCTGGCTTTTCTCACTTTGTTGTTAAGAAGAATCCGGCCCTTTGCCTGGGTCTGAGAACCCCCTCCTTCCCCTGCTCACAGGACTTCCCTCACCACGTCTCTAACCCTCCAGTGGCATGTCCCAGTCCCCCTGGTTTGTTCCTCCATGCTCTTGCATGCTAGTTTTCATTTTCAGTGCCTGACAGACTCCTACCAGGAGATAGTGGGGTGTTGGGCAGTATCTGAAGACAGTGTTAATGGTCATGACTTAGATGGCGTGAGTAGGGATGGAGATGGAATTCTAGTGGCCAGAGGCCAGGGCTACTGCTCAACACTTACATGCACAGTGCAGC